TCTTGATAGTTGTGACAGGATCCACAGGCATAACACCAGACACAAACATCTCTAGGACAGTCCCCGTGTTCGACTAAACCTTTACAAAAATTCAATGTATTTTAAAGGACCTAAAATCTGGAACACCCTACCTGAAAACTCTAGAACTGCAGACACATTCATCACTATCAAAACTACAGTTAGAAAACATCTTATCTCCCTGATCCACCCCGACAACTAACTACATGATAACCACCTGGTGGTTCAAAATTACACTCATTCACCCACTGACTATAAACCCAGAAATACTAATCTTAATCTTAAAATAATAAATCCTAACTAGTCATAAGTTTACCTATGATACTCAAATATAGACACCTTGTATTGTGCCAAAACAAAAGCATTCACATTGCTAAACTCACAAATTATGATGTAGTCACTTAGCCTTAATACCATAATCTGTAAGGATTTAATGTTAAGAATTAATCTAAGTCTGCCCGAAATGCCTAGCCATGCTAGGTGTCCTAGTGGCCCCCTCTGTAATTAGTATTTTATGACATGTAAACCACAAAATACCCAAAACCTGTAAACCCCACATTGTAACCATTATAGAGAATAAACTTGAATTGAATTGAATTAAACTGAAGTACTTCTGGCAGTTTTGGAGACACACAGATGATGATCAAACTAAATGCAAATTATGTAACCGAACTCTCTCCAGGTAAACTCCAGGTATGTGATCAGGCATATGGTCACTGTCTTGAACACTATGTGCTTAATTGTCCACTTATTGAGGAATACAGAGACAGACAGTATAATAACCTATGTGACATGTCAAGATATCTCATTAATGAAAATAAGATACCAGATATACTAAGCAGATTTCCTAAGTTTGCTTGTAACAGATAAATGAACTGTAGATATGTAGATATAAACTTATATGTACACCTGTTAACCCTTTTGGGGCCTAGTTCCTAGGCCGTTTGTGTATCCATATGCTCTTGCACTACTGTTTACAGGATGGATGTGGGGTGCACAATAAACTAGCTACTTCGGTGGCAAAATCTAAATCTCTGTGAAACCTCATTAATATTCGTGTAAAGGAGAAATGCCGCCTACCGGAGGTCACATTTACCACAGTTGTGAACACAAGCATCCACACACGTGGGAGAGTCCCACTAGTAGAAGTAAGAAGTAATCATTGCCTATCAGTGATTATCTTCTTACTAGTGGGCCCCGCCTCCTCTGTCAAGATTTTCTCTGCCTCACCTTGACAGTATGTAAGTCTCCATTCTGTTGATTTAGCTCACATTGTTCCAGACTATGGAGCAGAACTTTTCTCCAGTCTGAGGGACTGACCATCCCAAAACTACGTCTTCCATGATGATGGACTGATTACATCTTTACATCTCTACTGCTTCTGCTGTCTCTGTATTTGACTGAAGAAGCTTTCAGTGTAAGCGAAACGTTTCGGAATAAAGATACCTAACTAGACCTAGTTAAGTTGGTTTAAAGCCTGTCAAAATAATTTAATCCCTAAAATAAGCATACAGGCAGACTCTCAGTTCATGAGGCCTGGTCACAGACCGGGCCGCGGGGGCGTTGACCCCCGGAACTCTCTCCAGGTAAACTCCAGGTAATATGCCTGGAGTATACCGGAAGGGTGTTCCGGGGGTCAATGCCCCAGCGGCCCGGCCCATGACCAGGTCTCGCGGTAGGCCAGGAGCTGTGAATCGACCCCTGCAGCCACATACAGGTGAGTATCACAGGGATATTAGGAAGTATTTCTTCAGTCACAGAGTTGTCAGGAAGTGGAATAGTCTGGGAAGTGATGTAGTGGAGGCAGGATCCATACATAGGTTTAAGAAGAGGTATGATAAAGCTCATGGAGCGGGAAGAGTGACATAGTAGCGGCCAGTGATGAGGTGGGGCCAGGAGCTGTAACTCGACCCCTGCAATCATAACTAGGTGAGTACAGGGAGGCAACAGCGAGTCATGGTCAATGATGAGGTATCACCTCAATTATTGGGAGCGCTTGAGGTTCCTAAACCTGTATTCCCTGGAACGCAGGAGGGAGAGATACATGATTATATACACCTGGAAAATCCTAGAGGGACTAGTACCGAACTTGCACACGAAAATCACCCACTACGAAAGCAAAAGACTTGGCAGACGATGCACCATCCCCCCAATGAAAAGCAGGGGTGTCACTAGCACGTTAAGAGACCATACAATAAGTGTCAGGGGCCCGAGACTGTTCAACTGCCTCCCAGCACACATAAGGGGGATTACCAACAGACCCCTGGCAGTCTTCAAGCTGGCACTGGACAAGCACCTAAAGTCAGTTCCGGATCAGCCGGGCTGTGGCTCGTATGTTGGTTTGCGTGCAGCCAGCAGCAACAGCCTGGTTGATCAGGCTCTGATCCACCAGGAGGCCTGGTCTCAGACCGGGCCGCGGGGGCGTTGACCCCCGGAACTCTCTCCAGGTAAACTCCAGGCGCCTGTGACGAGCGGGGTACCACAGGGGTCAGTCCTGGAACCAGTGCTATTCTTGGTATATGTGAACGACATGACGGAAGGGATAGATTCAGAAGTGTCCCTGTTTGCAGATGATGTGAAGTTAATGAGGAGAATTAAATCAGATGCGGACTAGACAGGTCTACAAAGAGACCTGGACAGGCTGGATGCGTGGTCCAGCAACTGGCTCATGAAGATCGGAGAAGGGCAAAGAAGACCGCAGACAGAGTATAGGCTAGGAGGCCAAAGACTGTAAACCTCACTCAAGGAGAAAGATCTACGAGTGAGTATAATACCGAGTACATCGCCAGAAGCACACATTAACCAGATAACTGTTGCGGCATATGGGCGCCTGGCAAACCTGAGAATAGCATTCCGGTACCTCAGTAAGGAATCGTTCAAGACTTTATACACTGCGTACGTCAGGCCCATACTGGAGTACGCAGAACCATAAGTTTCAAACATACATAAGTTTCAAACATACTATACCAATAAAGGGGTAACTCCAAACAGTTGTTAACTAATAAGTGTATCTCATGACTTTATTCAAAAAGAACTAAGCAGGTTAAACCCAACTAAGAGCACTGGCCCGGATAACATCCCGTCTAAGTTCCTAAAAGATGGTGCTTCTGAACTGTCAATCCCTATTGCTCACATAATAAATCTATCAATCACCACTAATACCGTACCGGATGGGTTCAAGGAGGCCAGAGTTACTCCTATCTTCAAGAAAAATAGTAGGTCTGATGTAAGCAACTATAGGCCTGTTAGTATACTCAGTATAATATCCAAAATTCTAGAGAGGGCGGTGTACTCTCAAGTAGTTAAGTACCTTAATGACAACAACATTCTCCATAGCTATCAATCGGGCTTTAGAAGATCTTACTCAACCGACACCTCCCTAATTAATCTGATGGATTACCTGAGAACTGAAATGTCAAAGGGGAACCTCATAGGTATGGTAACCTTAGACCTGCAAAAGGCCTTCGATACTGTCAACCACAATATATTATGTAAGAAACTTCAAGCTATCGGTATAGGTTCTGTAGACTGGTTCAAGTCCTACCTTAGCAACAGGAGACAAATTGTCAAAATCAACAAAACGGAATCAGAACCCCTGCCGATAGCATGTGGAGTTACCCAAGGTAGTATTCTGGGTCCCTTATTATTCTTATGTTATGTCCATGACATGCCTATCAGTGTCAAGTGCAAACTCCTATTGTATGCAGATGACAGTGCTCTGTTAGTATCAGGTAAAGACCCACAAGATATAGCTAATGTTTTAACACTGGAACTGGAGTCCTGCAGCAAATGGTTAGTAGACAACAAACTATCATTACACCTCGGGAAAACTGAAGCCATTCTCTTTGGCACGAAACATAAACTGAGAAGGGTAAATAATTTTAATGTCCAGTGTAATGGGGAGCCCATCACTTTGGTTTCATCAGTAAAATATCTGGGAATCCCCTTTGACCCATGCATGTCAGGAGAATTGATAGGGAACAGTGTAGTAAAGAAAGCGAATGCCAGACTGAAGTTCCTGTATAGACAAGCACAGTGTCAACCTACTGAGGCTCGCAGGACCCTATGTCTAGCCCTTATACAATGCCATATGGATTACGCTTGCTCTTCATGGTACTCTGCCTTGACAAAAAAAAAAAATGAAAGATAGACTGCAAATCACCCAAAACAAAATCGTAAGATTCATTCTGAGGCTGGGACCAAGAGAACATGTAGGCCAGGATGAATTACAGCAGTTGGCTATGCTGAATGTTGAAGACAGAGTAAAACAACTGAAGCTAAATCATGTTTATAAAATTGCTCACAAACAGTGTCCAGAATATCTTGCTGTCAGTTTTGTTAAGGTTGGGAACCAAAGCAATCACAGTACTAGGGGGAGAGAGCACAACTTTGTAGTACCCACAGTCAGTGGCCAGGCTTCAAACACCTTTTATTGTACAGCAATAAAGGAATGGAACAGACTGCCTGCACATGTCAAAGCCAGTCATAGCATGAACCAGTTCAAGAAGAGTGCCGAAAGGTGTCTGATGAATGTAGCTACAGAAAGGGAGGGGAATGATTTTCTATTTTTTTAGCTAACATACGTGTAAATTTTACCTTATTCCTAGCTAGCTAGTAATGACCCTCGTATTGTAGATAGTCTTAATGACCCTCGTGTAGTAGTCTTTTTAGTATGATAATAAGATGTTATCTTCATTATAGAATAATAAGAAAATATTATAACCTTTATATTATAATAATAAGGTAAAAGGACCCCAATGGAAATAAGTCACTGTCTGACTTTTTTGGGTTATTTTAGGTTCTCTACACATATGCTGCTATGTATGATAATTCTATGTAACTGTATTTGTGTATACCTGAATAAACTTACTTACTTACGTACTTACTTACCTGCAACCACATACAGGTGAGTATCACAGGGATATTAGGAAGTATTTCTTCAGCACAGAATTGTTAGGAAGTGGAATAGTCTGGCAAGCGATGTAGTGGAGGCAGGAACTATACATAGTTTTAAGACCGAGGTATGATGAAGCTCATGGAGCAGGGAGAGGGAGGACCCAATAGCGGTCAGTGAAGAGGCGGGGCCAGGAGCTGAGTATCGACCCTTGCAACCACAATTAAGTGAGTACACCTCTTGCTGTATATATTGTAATAATATGGCAACTCAGGGTGGAGGACGGCCGAGTGTTCAGTGATCTAACAAGGGTGAGAGGTGGCGGGTTATTAAGGTGCTGTGGCGTTGTATTTCTCTCTTTCTTTCTATATTATATACCTAAATATTTTTTTGTAACATATGCACGCCAGTAAATTAAGATAGGTCTTATATTGGTTTGTGATATTACGTGAAAACAAGCAATGGATGAATAAATAGGAAAACAAAGAATATCTTGTAGTTAATATGTTATACGCTGGTAACTGTGAGCACAAAAGTAAATATATAAGATATGCCTCTCATGATACTTTATTATTCTGTACCTCCGTAGGATTATTATAGCAACATATTGTAATTTAAGAGTTGAAATAAAGAAGAGAGACATGTGAATATTGAAAAAAGTTAAGCACAGCTGATGGGGTCTGCAGGAACACTTGGTAGAAAGCCCTGTTATCCCTGTGAGTTTAGCTCTTCCCCACAGACGTAATATGAACCCTACGGGTTTAGCATTCCCACAGCTGTTAGGTAACACCTTACTGGAACACTGTTGAAGCATGGTATTGGAAAATGATGATGAGACAAGGTATCCACAATTCTTATTGCCAAACCAGGACTTGCCTTTATCCTTTCTAAATCTAAATTTGTTTATCTTGAATCCTGTCTTGGTTAGATACTTTCATCACGTTATTTATATCCCTTTTATTTCTGCTTTCCATTTGTACGTTTCAATCATTCACCCTCCCCCCCAAATTCCATATCTTTTCACTGAAAATTCAGTGACTTCAGCCCATCTTTATATGAAAGATTTCATCTTCCGGGTTATTTGGAACACTTTCTAGGCTGAAACAATCTCAGGAAGATAAGATAAGGGAACTTTCAAATTTGCGCAGAGTAGTAAGATAAGAGAGCGCACATGATAGTAACAAATGTTGAACAAATTATTGTTTTTCATTAAAATACCATTTGAAGGTATGCCTTGAAGCTGATGAAGGGCTTTTGGTTCAAGGAATTAGAACTGCTTCTCTCCTTCCTTGAATCAAAAATGATCACCCTCCCATTCCCCATTTGCTGTATAAACTGTGAACCTTACAGGTTTAGCTCTTGCTCATGAATGTAATCATCTTTAATTTTATTACTGTTTTATATTTAAACGAAATGAAGATTTATATTAATTTTTGCCTTTAATAAACTTAATATTACAAATAAATTGTTCAGTGGATATTACCTTTTATTAATTATTTATTATATTCTGCAGAGTATTATATCGACATTCGCCCCAAAAAATATCAAGAAGTAGGCCAAGTCGATTTCACTACTAAGATGGTAAGAAGAAATACTACACAGTGCTGTGATCTTTCTCTGATGATGGGTTTAGTGCTTATTTTTTATAATAATTTCTGTGGTGAAGGGGAAGACAGTATTATGTTGCATTTAAAGTATTACCCGAGAAGAAGGAAGAAATTATTGTACATTGGACCCTCGGTTATTGGCCGTAATCCGTTCCAGAAGTTCAGCCTAAATCCGAAAAGGCCTAAAACCGAAATAATATTTCCCATAAGAATTAATCTAAATATAATTAATCCATTCCAGACACCCAAAAAATTAACAAAAAATACATTTTTTAAAGATTAACTATAGTTTTACATACAAAAAACAATGAGAACTAAATAAAATTACTAATGAAATGGTTAAATGAACATTTAACATCACTTTTACCTTTATTGAACTCTACGGCTTATTTATCTATCACAATTCATGTAATATGACATAACAAACAATATTAATAACATAGAAACATGATATATACTCTAGAATGAATAAAGTAGGTCATTATGTATGTGACTATTGGTGGTGGTGGGTTTATCAGGGCCACTGACAGCATAAGCTGTCAGTGGCCCTGACAGCTTAGTAGTGGTGGCAGGGGCCACCACTACTAAACACACTACTAGTCACACTGAAACAATGTATGTAATTTATAAATAAGAAGTATTGTATAAAAACATAATAAATAATGTAAAGAAATAAAGTGGTTATTGTGGAGAATGTAAAGAAATAAAGTGGTTATTGAGATGCTGGCAGAGGTTTAGGGTGGTGGAAGATACACAGGGCGGCATATGTTGTCAGTGGCCCTATAAACCTCCAACAACATTGGAGAAGTTAGTTAATGTCTTTCTTTTTTTATCGCTTAATCACTTTACTTACTTGCTATGCTGTTAATGCTATACTTTATCGCTGGCTGGTGCTACAGCCTTTATCGATTCCTACTGCTGTAGTATTGTACATATCGTAGAATCACTGAATTACTGAAGAAGGCACATTCTCCCCTCTCTCTCAGCTCTTTACCAAAGGGCTGGCACTAGGAACTTTCTTTGGGCCCCTGGAGGCTTATTTCGCAGTCGCACTCCATAGACAACCACAAAAAACAATGGATTATGACAAAATGTTTGGATGAATCCGCAGAGTGTTGCGCAATCACCGAGAGAGACAGCCAGACTGACTCATGCACGGCGGGCAGATGCGTCTAATACGGTCAATTTCCGAGTTGCCGGCTGAAATCCAGGATAGAATTTCAGCCCAGAAAGCGGCTGAAATTCGATTTGGCCGATATCCGGAACAGCTGATATTCGAGGGTCCACTGCATTGTGATTCCTTCCTGACAATGATAAGACAATTAGTATGCTGTATACACAGTAGTTTCCCCCCATATCCGTGGAGGATATATTCTAAGACCTACCTTGGATACCCGAAACTGTGGATAGTAGTGGACAACATACGTCATATTTCATTTATGTTCATACCTAAATAAAGTTTAATTCTTTCAATAATAACTCTGCCATACACTTTACCAGGTATACTCAACAGACTTCTTTCTTTCAACGCACCAGCTGTATCCCACTGAGGTGGGGTGGCCCAAAAAGAAAAACAAAAGTTTCTCCTTTTAAATTTAGTAATATATACAGGAGAAGAGGTTACTAGCCCCTTGCTCCCGGCATTTTAGTCGCCTCTTACAACATGCATGGCTTACGGAGGAAGAATTCTGTTCCACTTCCCCATGGAGATAAGAGGAAATAAACAAGAACAAGAACTAGAAAGAAAATAGAAGAAAACCCAGAGGGGTATGTATATATATTCTTGTACATGTATGTATAGTGTGACCTAAGTGTAAGTAGAAGTAGCAAGATGTACCTGAAACCTTGCATGTTTATGAGACAGAAAAAAGACACCAGCAATCCTACCATCATGTAAAACAGTTGCAGGTTTCTGTTTTACACTCACTTGGTAGGATAGTAATACCCCCCTGGGTGGTTGCTGTCTATCAACCTACTACCTAGGACTCGAGACTTTTTTTTTTTTTTTAACAAACCAGTCGTATCCCACCAAAGCATGGTGGCCCAAAAAGAAAAACAAAAGTGTCTCTTTTCAAATTTAGTAATTTATACAGGAGAAGGGGTTACTAGCCCCTTGCTCCCGGCATTTTAGTCTCCTCTTAAGACACGCATAGCTTACAGAGGAAGAATTCTGTTCCACTTCCCCATGGAGATAAGAGGAAATAAACAAGAATAAGAACTAGAAAGAAAATAGAAGAAAACCCAGAGGGGTGTGTATATATGTGCTTGTACATGTATGTGTAGTGTGACCTAAGTGTAAGTAGAAGTAGCAAGACCTACCTGAAATCTTGCATGTTCATGAGACAGAAAAAAGGACACCAACAATCTTACCATCATGTAAAACAATTACAGGCTTTCGTTTTACACTCACTTGGCAGGACGGTAGTACCTCCCTGGGCGGTTGCTGTCTACCAACCTACTACCTAGGACTCAACAGACTTATCCCCCTATAATTTTTGCACTCTCTTTTGTCCCCTTTGCCTTTATATAAAGGAACTATGCACGCTCTCTGTCAATCCCTAGGTACCTTACCCTCTTCCATACATTTATTAAATAATAGCACCAACTACTCCAAAACTATATCCCCACCTACTTTTAGCATTTCTATCTTAATCCCATCAATCCCAGCTGCCTTACCCCCTCTCATTTTACCCACTGCCTCACGAACTTCCCCCACACTTGCAACTGGCTCTTCCTCACTCCTACAAGATGTTATTCCTCCTTGCCCTATACACGAAATCACAGCTTCCCTATCTTCATCAACATTTAACAGTTCCTCAAAATATTCCCTCCATCTTCCCAATACCTGTAACTCTCCATTGAATAACTCTCCTCTCCTATTTTTAACTGACAAATCCATTTGTTCCCTAGGCTTCCTCAACTTGTTAATCTCACTCCAAAACTTTTTCTTATTTTCAACAAAATTTGTTGATAACATCTCACCCACTCTCTCATTTGCCCTTTTTACATTGCTTCATGACTCTCTTAACCTCTCTTTTTTTTCTCCATATACTCTTCCCTCCTTGCATCACTTGTACTTTGTAAAAACTTCTCATATGCTAACTTTTTCTCCCTTACTACTCTCTTTACATCATCATTCCACCAATCGCTCCTCTTCCCTCTCGCACCCACTTTCCTGTAACCACGAACTTCTGCTGAACACACTAACACTACATTTTTAAACCTACCCCATCATCTTTGAACATCTTTGACCCCATTGCCTATGCTCTCGCTAGCCCATCTATCCTCCAATAATTGTTTATATCTTACCCTAACTGCCTCCTCTTTTAGTTTATAAACCTTCACCTCTCTCTTACCTGATTCTTCTCTTCTCCTTGTATCCCATCTACCTTTTACTCTCACTGTAGCTACAACTAAAAAGTGATCTGATATATCTGTGGCCCCTCTATAAACATGTACATCCTGAAGTCTACTCAACAGTCTTTTATCTACCAATACATAATCCAACAAACTACTGTCATTACACCCTACATCATATCTTGTATACTTACTTATCCTCTTTTTCTTAAAATATGTATTACCTATAACTAAACCCCTTTCCATACAGAGTTCAATCAAAGGGCTCCCATTGTCATTTACACCTGGCACCCCAAACTTACCTACCACACCCTCTCTAAATGTTTCTCCTACTTTAGCATTTAGGTCCCCTACCACAGTTACTCTCAGAATATAATATATGCTCCTTACCAAGATATGGTTCCATCAATGTTCTAACCACATCACCAGAGATAGCCAGTAACTTCCTGGTATCTTGCAATGTATTACTTCCAGTGTACACAGTTATATCCAATACAAGACCACTGTAGCAATCACAAAGCACAAACAACTTTATACCAAAGTGTTTCCTCTTGCTTGGTATGCACTGCTTAAATGGCAGTCTTCCTTTGAACAGAATCAAAGACTCATCAATAACAAGCTTCCTGAAGGGATAAAAATGCATATTGAATATCTGTTTCAGATAAACAGACACATTCCTAATCTTACATAACCTGTCATTTCTGACAGCTCTGGTTTTGTCTGAGAAGTGAAGCATACGTAATAGTAGCACAAATCAATTCACTCCTATTATATCACTGAAACCTGGGGTTGCAATCAGGCGGTCTGTCGACCAGTATGATTTGACACGTGTGGCATAAGCATTATTGTGGCAAACAAAAGACACATTTCAGCCACAGTTGTCTCCTTCCACTGGTGTAGGCATGAGTTTGGTGAAAGTATTGTGTTTGCCATGGTGTACTCAAAGTATCTATTGCTTTCCCTGACAATAATTTACATCATGGGTTCGTCAAAGAATAACTCGAAACATTTCAGTTCAGTGGCATTGTTCCCAGGTGTACAAGATGGCCGTATTCCACTTTGACTTTCACCAAAGTGGTGGGGATTGGGAACAAAATTGGCAGCTTCCTGCCAATCCTATGTGTGGTCTGCTGGTGGGTACTGGATAATGACAAGTGGTTGTGGAGGTTGTGGTTGAGGAGGTTGGTGTGGTGGGTGGGTAGGGGATGGTGGCCTTTGTTGTAGTTCTGCTGAGTCAGCGGCGTGGGTGGCAGCATGGCCCACTGCTGGTGCCTCACGGCTGGCACCACTACTACCACTAACAGATGCATGCACATTTTCCATCCCAATTGCAACACTATCATCTTCATTTTCATTATCTGTTCCTGTTGTACAGCCACGGGATGTACTCCGAGATGTACTCCTTCCCCTTGGAATAGCATATGGCACACTACCAGAGCGCATATACCATTGTATATATTGACGCTTCACTGGAGAATATTCTACTTCATTCTTGCTACTGGAACTGTTTTCAAGAGCTTGGAGTTCATATTCACTATCACTATCATCACCATTGCTCACATCTGAGTCCTGGATATGGTAAAATAAGAGTTTCCTCTTTTGTTCTGGTACAACTGAACGTGAACACGACGGCCCAGCACCAGAGGTGGAAGGTTGAGGGTCATCTGGATTTTCCTCACTATTACCGGTATTATGGTTATTAGTTTCGGTCACAACTTCATCAAAACCTTGAAAGTCATCTTCACTGACACTTCGATCTGTATTAGAACTGTCACTGGAGAACAAAAATGTCCCAGTTCACCGAGGAGTGAGGAGTTTCTTACCGTGAGGCATGGTGAGCAAGGTGTAATAAAATGGCGTTCCCACAGTGCACCACTGGGTCCCCAAATTTTTTCATACCGTGCACACTGACCACGCAGACCCATTCTCTTGCATCTAGGCCTACCAGCTGTTTCCCGCTTAATTTGAAGCTGCTGGAATATATGCGTACTTGTACGGTACCAACCTTGAAAGGGTTAAAAGACAAAGGAGGGAAGTAACCCTATATAAGGACTTGTTACCTAAAGTCTTTATGGAAGGGGATTCCCCTTCCAGACAATAAGTCCTCCCTCTTTCCTCCTCCCTATCTTCCAGATGCCAGTAAGTCTCTTCAATGAAGGTAAGTAAATGTTTATTTAATTTTTTTTTTTCTCAACAAGTCGGCCATCTCCCGCCGAGGCAGGGTGACCCAAAAAAAGAAAGAAAATACTTTCATCATCATTCAACACTTTCACCTCACTCACACATAATCACTGTTTTTGCAGAGGTGCTCAGAACACAACAGTTTAGAAGCATATACGTATAAAGATACACAACATATCCCTCCAAACTGCTAATATCCCAAACCCCTCCTATAGAGTGCAGGCATTGTACTTCCCGTTTCCAGGACTCAAGTCCGGCTATATAAAAATAACCAGTTTCTCAGAATCCCTTCACTAAATATTACCCTGCTCACACTCCAACAGATCGTCAGGTCCCAAATACCATTCGTCTCCATTCACTCCTATCGAACACGCTCATGCACGCTTGCTAGAAGTCCAAGCCCCTCGCCCACAAAACCTTCCTTACCTCTTCCAACCTTTTCAAGGATGACCCCTACCCTGCCTTCCTTCTCCTACAGATTTAAATGCTCTCCATGTCATTCTACTTTGATCCATTCTCTCTAAATGACCAAACCACCTTAACAACCCCTCTTCAGCCCTCTGACTAATACTTTTATTAACTCCACACCTCCTAATTTCCACACTCCGAATTTTCTGCATAATATTTACACCGCACATTGCCCTTAGACAGGACATCTTCACTGCCTCCAACCGCCTCCTCGCTGCTGCATTCACAACCCAAGCTTCACACCCATATAAGAGTGTTGGTATTACTATACTTTCATACATTCCCTTCTTTGCCTCCATAGATAATGTTTTTTTGACTCCACATATACCTCAATGCACCACTCACCTTTTTTCCCTCATCAATTCTATGATTAACCTCATCCTTCATAAATCCATCCGCCGACACGTCAACTCCCAAGTACATCTGAAAACATTCACTTCTTCCATACTCCTCCTCCCCAATTTGATATCTAATTTTTCCTTATCTAAATCATTTGATACCCTCATCACCTTACTCTTTTCTATGTTCACTTTCAACTTTCTACCTTTACACACACTCCCAAACTCATCCACTAACGTTTGCAATTTTTCTTTGGAATCTCCCATAAGCACAGTATCATCAGCAAAAAGTAACTGTGTCAATTCCCATTTTGTATTTGATTCCCCATAATTTAATCCCACCCCTCTCCCAAACACCCTAGCATTTACTTCTTTTACAACCCCATCTATAAATATATTAAACAACCATGGTGACATTACACATCCCTGTCTAAAACCTACTTTTACTGGGAAGTAGTCTCCCTCTCTTCTACACACCCTAACCTGAGCCTCACTATCCTCATAAAAACTCTTTACAGCACTTAGTAACTTACCACCTATTCCATATACTTGCAACATCTGCCACATTGCTCCCCTATCCACTCTATCATATACCTTTTCTAAATCCATAAATGCAATAAAAACTTTCTTACCTTTATCTAAATACTGTTCACATATATGCTTCAATGTAAACACTTGATCTACACATCCCCTACCCACTCTGAAACCTCCTTGCTCATCCGCAATCCTACATTCTGTCTTACCTCTAATTCTTTCAATTATGACCCTACCGTACACTTTTCCTGGTATACTCAGTAAACTTATTCCTCCATAATTTTTACAATCTCTTTTGTCCCCCTTCCCTTTATATAAAGGGACTATACATGCTCTCTGCCAATCCCTAGGTACCTTCCCCTCTTTCATACATTTATTAAACAAAAGTACCAACCACTCCAACACTATATCCTCCCTGCTTTTAACATTTCTGTCATGATCCCATCAGTTCCAGCTGCTTTACCCCCTTTCATTCTACGTAATGCCTCGCATATCTCCCCCACACTCACATCCTGCTCTTCTTCACTCCTAGAAGATGGTATACCTCCCTGGCCAGTGCATGAAATTACTGCCTCCCTTTCTTCCTCAACATTTAAAAGTTCCTCAAAATATTCTCGCCATCTACCTAATACCTCCCTCTCACCATCTACTAACTCCCCTACTCTGTTTTTAACTGACAAATCCCTATGTTCCCTAGGCTTTCTTAACTTGTTTAACTCACTCCAAAATTTTTTCTTATTTTCATTAAAATTTCTTGACAGTGCCTCTCCCACTCTATCATCTGCTCTCCTTTTGCACTCTCTCACCACTCTCTTCACCTTTCTTTTACTCTCCATATACTCTGCTCTTCTTATAACACTTCTGCTTTGTAAAAACCTCTCATAAGCTAACTTTTTCTCTTTTATCACACCCTTTACTTCATCATTCCACCAATCACTCCTCTTTCCTCCTGCCCCCATCCTGCTATAACCACAAACTTCTGCCCCACATTCTAATACTGCATTTTTAAAACTCATCCAACCCTCTTCAACCCCCCCACTACTCATCTTTGCACTAGCCCACCTTTCTGCTAATAGTCGCTTATATCTCACCCGAACTTCCTCCTCCCTTAGTTTATACACTTTCACTTCCCTCCTACTTGTTGTTGCCACCTTTCTCTTGTCCCATCTACCTCTTATTCTAACTGTAGCTACAACTAAATAATGATCCGATATATCAGTTGCCCCTCTATAAACATGTACATCCTGGAGCCTACCCATCAACCTTTTATCCACCAATACATAATCTAACAAACTACTTTCATTACGTGCTACATTATACCTTGTATATTTATTTATCCTCTTTTTCATAAAATATGTATTACTTATTACCAAATCTCTTTCTACACATAGCTCAATTAAAGGCTCCCCATTTACATTTACCCCTGGCACCCCAAAATTACCTACTACTCCCTCCACAACATTTTTACCCACTTTAGCATTGAAATCCCCAACCACAAGTACTCTCACACTTGGTTCAAAACTCCCCATGCATTCACTCAACATTTCCCAAAATCTCTCTCCTCTACACTTCTCTCTTCTCCAGGTGCATATATGCATACTATAACCCACTTTTCACATCCAACCTTTATTTTACTCCACATAATCCTTGAATTAATATATTTATAGTCCCTCTTTTCCTGCCATATCTTATCCTTCAACATTATTGCTACTCCTTCTTTAGCTCTAACTCTATTTGAAACCCCTGACCTAATCCCATTTATTCCTCTCTACTGTAACTCTCCCACCCCCTTTAGCTTTGTTTCGCTTAAAGCCAGGACATCCAGCTTCTTCTCATTCATAACATCCACAATCATCTCTTTCTTATCATTTGCACAACATCCACGCACATTCAGACTTCCCACTTTCACAATTTTCTTCTTATTCTTTTTAGTAATCTTTACAGGAAAAGGGGTTACTAGCCCATTGTTCCCGGCATTTTAGTTGACTTTTACAACACGCATGGCTCACGGAGGAAAGATTCTTATTCCACTTCCCCATGGATATAAAAGGAAAAGTAATAAGACCAAGAACTATTAAGATAAAATCAAAGAAAACTCAGATGAGTGTGTATAAATATACGTGTACATGTATGTGTAGTGTGACCCAAGTGTAAGTAGAAGTAGCAAGACATACTTGTAATCTTGCATATTTATAAGACAGACAAAAGACACCAGCAATCCTACCATTATGTAAAACGATTACAGGCTTTCGTTTTACACTCGCTTGGCAGGACGGTAGTACCTCCCTGGGTGGTTGCTGTCTGTGCTGTGTGTATGTAAAACTATAGTTATTATTCAAAAAATGTATTTTTTTGTGAATATTTTTGTGGGTCTGGAACGGATTAATTATGTTGCAGTTTAACTGTAGTGTATACCACCCTTCTGGCAAGACAGTGATGGAGTGAATGATGGTGAAAGTTTTTCTTTTTTGGGCCACCCTGCCTTGGTGGGAATCGGCCAGTGTGTTAATAAAAATATTTCTTATGGGAAATATTGCTTTGCCTTTCAGCTGTTTCGCAGTTAGGCCTGGAACGGATTACGGCCGAAACCTGGGGTTTCACTGTATAATCATTTTTATGTTTGAATACAATATTACTGTTTCATTGGCTATTCAGATAAAATTTGAATATTGTACATTACTGAGATCTTTGCTGTTAAAAAATTAACAAAAATAAGAATAAAAATACAATAAATATTTAGAACACAATGTAATTAACTGTCTAATGCTTTTCACAGGAGGACTGCAACCCTGAGGAATGTCAGGTTTGTGTTGACAATTATGACCAACATCTAAGACGTCCACGTTGTCTGCCTTGTGGCCACACGGTTTGCTCCAGATGTATTAATATTGCAATAAGGAGGACACAGCTTACCTGCCCCATTTGCCGCACCAAGCATAATGCAAGAATTGCAGAAGACTTCTCAGTCAACTACAGTTTTGAGATGCTTATAAATAAACACAAAGATACTCCTTTTAAGGCAGAAGGAAAAGTGTCAAAAAAACATTATAAAGTCTGCCATAAAGGTATCTTAAAGAAGGTTCTGCCCTTGATGCGGAAACAGAAGGTTAATATCAGCAGCCTTGTTACCAGCTGTAAAGAAGCACTGTCCCAGCTTGTTAAATACCAAGAACATTTTAATGGGTATAAGATTCAGCACCACCAACTCCAGGAGAAAATAATAGAGCAGAACTCGAGAGCAATAGGACTCTTGGAACTGGAGGATACCAGGGTGATGCATATGATAACAGAAGGAGAGGAGAGACTACAGCAATTACAGTTCAATTTGGGGTGCCTTGACACCGGTACCTCTTCAGACCAATTTTTTACATCCATTGATGAAGCTGATCATTGTAATGAAATGGTAGAAAAGTGGCTCCAAAGGTACCAGGACATCTTCCCAGAGGTTAATGCCATACATACCTCAGTAAAGGTATGTTGATAGAGACCACATTTTCCCTATAAAACCTTTTGTAAAATTCCTCTTTTCACATTTTTCATGAAGATCTAGCACTTAATTCTTCTTCCCTGAATCCTCTACTTTGCATAATTTAGGCTTTTCTGAAAAGTATGTGCTATAATAATTTTAAACTAATATTGTTACAATTATGTAATTTTCTAAAATGATGTTTTCTTTGAAGCAGATCAAAAAAGGTGTTATCAAGTTATTTCACACAAATCTCTGAGAAAAAATCCAAAAAGTACTATACAGATCCTCTTCTGGGGGACTAAAAAACAAAGTTCCTTAAAGCTGAAAGTTCTGTTTTGTATTTAAGATCTTTCTTATGTGGCATGCTAGGTTCATCTGAGGAAATCAGATTCTGCCATTAAAGTTTGTATTTCTATTGACAGGTTCAGGAGAACATCAAGAAGGCCCTGAAGATGATATCCATACATATGGGTAACCCGAAATGGAGTAGAGATTTGAATAAACCGAAATGTAGGACAAAGATTAATGAACTGATACGGTATAAAAACTTGGAAACCTACAGCTACAAACTCATGGAGAAAGTTGAAGCAATTACTCTAAACACCTCAAAGGAGTTGCGTGTAAGTGTGAGGTCATCTGGGATTATCTTTTTTTGAAATATAAATCTGGCTGGTAACTTTAGCATTATAATTTACACAGATTTTTCATGTATGTTGTTGCCCACAAGTGTCAGTGGGCATGGTGTTATGTCCCAAGTATCAGTGAGTACAGGTTTGTGCCCAAGTGCCAGTACTACATTCATGACAACATTATTAAAGATTCATAAGGAAATGAAATGCAGTATTTACACAGGTGAGTCCATACAGGAAATATCTTCTTTCAACAAACTGGCCACATCTCACTGAGGCAGGGTGGCACAAAAAGAAAAACTAAAGTTTCTCCTTTTACATATAGTAATTCTTTCTTTCAACACACTGGCCGTATCCCACCAAGGCAGGGTGGCCCAAAAGAAAAAACGAAAGTTTCTCCTTTTAAATTTAATAATATATTCAGGAGGAGGGGTAACTAGCCCCTTGCTCCCAGCATTTTAGTCGCCTCTTACGACACGCATGGCTTACGGAGGAAGAATTCTGTTCCACTTCCCCATGGAGATAAGATAAAATAAACACGAACAAGAACTAGAAAGAAAATAGAAGAAAACCCAGAGGGGTGTGTATATATATGCTTGTACATGCATGTGTAGTGTGACCTAAGTGTAAGTAGAAGTAGCAAGACGTACTTGAAATCTTGCATGTTCATGAGACAGAAAAGACACCAGCAATCCTACCATCATGTAAAACAATTACAGGCTTCCATTTTACACTTACTTAGCAGGATGGTAGTACCTCCCTGGGCTGTTGCTGTCTACCAACCTACTACCTATATCAAGAAATATATGTAGACTTAAATACAGCAATTAAAGGCAAGAATACATTAGAGTTGGATGGGGAGGAGGGGGAATGAAAATGCATATAATGCCAGGTGTTTACTTCATCTCAACATTGATAAAGCAACTGTTAACATGAGAGACTCAAGAACACTTACAAAGCAGCTGTTAACACAAGTGGCTCAAGAACATTAATAAAGCAACTGTTAACACAAATGCCTCAAGAACACTGATTAAACAACTTAAATAACAAGGCACAATACCATGACTGGAACAGTACACAAAGAACCCATATGTAGGAGCTTACAACGACGTTTCGGTCTGATTTGGACCATATACAAAGTTTCAGTGGGGAGAAATAAATTGGATTAGGTCAGGGGTTTCAAATAGAGCTAAAGAAGGAGTAGCAATAATGTTGAAGGATAAGCTATGGTAGGAAAAGAGGGAATATAAATGTATTAATTCAAGGATTATGTGGAGTAAAATAAGGGTTGAATATGAAAAGTGGGTTAAAGTAAGTGTTTATGCACCATGAGAAGAGAGAAGTGTAGAGTAGAGAGAGAGAGATTTTGGGAAATGTTGAGTGAGTGTGTTGGGAGTTTTGAACCAAGTGTGAGAGTACTTGTGGTCGGGGATTTCAATGCTAAAGTGGGTAAAAATGTTGTAGAGGGAGTAGTAGGTAAATTTGGGGTGCCAGGGGTAAATGTAAATGGGGAGCCTTTAATTGAGCTATGTGTAGAAAAAGGTTTGGTAATAAATAATACATATTTTATGAAAAAGAGGATAAGTATAGTGGTCCCTCGTTTGTTGTAATTAATCCGTTCCTGGAGGTGTTACTATTATCGAAATCTACGATTTTCGAATCAATTTTCCCCTTAAGAAATAATGTAAATACAATTAATCCGTTCCTGACACCCAGAAGTACTAAAACAAAAAATTTTTTTACATGAAATATAGATGTAGTACATAAACAATATAATGGGACATGATGAATGAAACATTAACAGCATAGCACTTACCTTTACTGGTGATTCTTAGTGTATGGAAGACTGGAGGAGGAGAGAGATTGGATTATTTACAGTTTGGAAGGGGAATCCCCTTCCATCAACACCTCAGGTACCAATTGCTTTTCTGGGGTTACTTCTCTTCTCTGTTTCTTAATGCCACTAGGACCAGCTTGAGAGTCACTGGAGTCCTGTCTCACAAAATAACTGTCCAGAGAGCTCTGTTTCTGGCATCTCTTTAACACTTCCCTAAAATGGGCCAAGACTTTGTCACTGTACATCTTGCCAACATGGCTTGCAACAGCCTTGTCAGGATGATGTTTCTCCATAAATCTTTCCATCTTATCCCACATTTCAAAAATCTCCCTAATTTCTGAAGAAGGCAACTTCTTCCATCTCCCTTCCTCCTCCTCTGCAGCAAGATTCCGAGCTGCAATCTGTTGCTCTTCCTGCTGAAGCTCTTGCAGCTCCTCAGTGGTGAGCTCTTCGTTGTGGTCTTCCACCAACTCTTCCACATCCTCCAAACTCACATCCAACCCCATGGAACTCCCCAGTGCCACAATAGATTTAACAACAGACATAGTCTCATCAGGATCAGCCCCAAACCCTTCAAAATCCCTCTTGTGGATGCAATCTGGCCACAATTTTCTCCAAGCAGAGTTCAAAGTCCTGGTAGTCACTCCCTTCCAAGCCTTACTTATAAGGCTTTCATATCGTTCAATGATGTTTTTCTTAAATCCAATCATATTTCTCACCTTCTTTACCAGAAGCTTGGCACTAAGAGCTTTCTTTGGAGCCATGGTAGCTTATTTAGTACTTGCAAGCACTAAAATGAATAGAATATTATGAAATATTTCGTATGAACACGTGAGGGGACCGTCGCTCACTGGTAAACAATGCCACACTGGATGGGAAGGGAGGCTGCCCCGGCTCAGAGCGCGCGTACGCGTCCCGGACGAATTACTATTCGCGAGTCAATCTACGATTTGCGAGCCCATGTTTTTCAAAAATATCGCTACGATTTCTGAAAATTACGACTCGAGCCCTACTATTATCGAGGGACCACTGTATACATATAAGGTATGATATAGCACATAATGAAAGTAGTTTGTTAGATTATATATTGGTGGATGAAAGGTTGATGGGTAGGCTTCAGGATGTACATGTTTATAGAGGGGCAACTGATATATCGGATCATTATTTAGTTGTAGCTACAGTTAGAGTAAGAGGTAGATGGGACAAAAGAAATGGCAACAACAAGTAAGAGAGAGGTGAAAGTGCATAAACCAAGGAAGGAGGAAGTTCGGGTGAGACATAAACAACTATTGGCAGAGAGGTGGGCTTGTGCAAGTATGAGTAGTGGGGGAGAGGGGTTGAAGAGGGTTGGAATAGTTTTAAAAATTCAGTATTAGAATGTGGGGCAGAAGTTTGAGGCTGTAGGAGGGTGGGTGCAGGAGGAAAGAGGAGTGATTAGTGGAATGATGAAGTAAAGGATGTGATAAGAGAGAAAGGTAGCTTATGAGAGGTTTTTACAAAGCAGAAGTGCTATAAGAAAAGCTGAGTATATGGAGAGTAAAAGAAAGTGATGAGAGTGGTGAGAGAGTGCAAAAGGAGAGCAGTTGATAGAGTGAGAGAGGCATTGTCAAGAAATTTTGAGGAAAATAAGAAAAAATTTTGGAGTGAGATAAACAAGTTAAGAAAGCCTAGGGAATGAATGGATTTGTCAGTTAAAAACAGAGTAGGGGAGTTAGTAGATGGGGAGATGGAGGTATTGGGTAGATGGCAGGAATATTTTGAGGAACTTTTTGAATGTCAATGAAGACAGGGAGGCGGTAATTTCATCGATTGTCCAGGGAGGTATACCATCTTTTAGGAGTGAAGAAGAGCAGGATGTGAGTGTGGAGGAGGTGCGTGAGGCATTATGTAGAATGAAAAGGGGGTAAAGCAGCTGGAACTGACGGGATCATGAGAGAAATGTTAAAAGCAGGGGGGATAGTGTTAGAGTGCTTGGTATTTTTGTTTAATAAATGTGTGAAATGTAGGTAGTAGGTTGGTAGACAGCAGCCGCCCAGGGAGGTACTACCGTCCTGCAAAGTGAGTATAAAACGGAAGCCTGTAATTGTTTTACATGATGGTAGGATTGCTGGTGTGTCTTTTTTTTTTTCTGTCTCATACACATGCAAGATTTCAGGTACATCTTGCTACTTCTACTTAAACTTAGGTCACACTACACATACATGTACAAGCATATATATATACACACCCCTCTGGGTTTTCTTCTATTTTCTTTCTAGTTCTTGTTCTTGTCCATTTCCTCTTATCTCCACGGGGAAGTGGAACAGAATTCTTCCTCCGTAAGCCATGCGTGTCGTAAGAAGTGACTAAAATGCCGGGAGCAAGGGGCTAGTAACCCCTTCTCCTGTATATATTACTAAATATGAAGGAAGAAACTTTTGTTTTTCCTTTAGGGCCACCCCGCCTCCGTGGGATATGGCTGGTATGTTGAAAGAAAGAAATGTATGAAAGAGGGGAAGGTACTTAGGGATTGGCAGAGAGCATGTATAGCTCCTTCATATAAACGGAAGGGGGACAAAAGAGATTGTAAAAATTATAGAGGAATTAGTTTACTGAGTATACTAGGAAATGTGTACAGTAGGGTTATTATTGAAAGAATTAGAGATAAGACAGAATGTAGCATTGCGAATGAACAAGGTGGTGTTAGAGTGGGTAGGGGATGTTTAGATCAAGTGTTTATATTGAAGCATATATGTGAACAGTATTTAGATAAAGGTAGGCAAGTTTTCATTGCATTTATGGATTTAGAAAAGGCATATGATAGTGGATAGGGGAGCAGTGTGGTAGATGTTGCAAGTATAATATGGAATAGGTAGTAAGTTACTAAATGTTGTAAAGAGTTTTTATGAGGATAGTGAGGCTCAGGTTAGGGTGTGTAGAAGAGAGGGAGACTATTTCCCAGTAAAAGTAGGTCTTAGACAGGGATGTGTTATGTCACCATGGTTGTTTAATATATTTATAGATGGAGTTGTAAAAGAAGTAAATGCTAGAGTGTTGGGGAGAGGGGTGGGATTAAATTATGGGGAATCAAATACAAAATGGGAATTGACAGTTACTTTTTGCTGATGATACTGTGCTTATGGGAGATTCGACAGAAAAATTGCAAAGGTTAATG